ATGTTTGGTCAACTGTTAAAATTTTAGTCACTAGTATGAATTAACCAAACAATGTACATTCTACTCAAAATACTAAGGACAATCAGATTTTAAATATTCAGTGAAATGATATATATTTCCTCACTAAATTGACCTTATTTCCAATCTTTGAGGTAAAGACGTTGATTCGTTTTTAAAACATAATTTCATCGATTCATTTAAATTCAAAAAAAATTTTAATTTTAATAGTTGACATCATGAGTCATTTGAAGCTAGACCACCATGGAAAACCTGGAAGCAATGGACGGTCGTTTCGTCCTACTGTAAGATTCCTCATCAGTGTACATCCACGATCCTGCCTCGAGAGATTCGAACCCAGGACCTATCAGTCACTGCTGAGTAGTCCCACAGTAGAACGAGACGGCCGTCCACTGCTTCCAGGTTTTCTATGGTGGTCTAGCTTCAAATGGCTCATGATCTCAACTAATAAAATTACTATAATATCCACAAAACTTTTTCTGATGTTATTTTAATGTTTGATATTCGTCTTGATTCTTATTCGGAAGTTGAAATACTGTTACTATATGCATGCTAATGTAAGTTTACGTGAGAGTGGTTATAGTTATTAGACGTTTTTATTTTTTATATTCTTGCAAATTAATATAGAATTAATACGAATAGAATATACGGAAGATTACAGAATTCTCAAACAATAAATGTTCAAGCTGTTAAAACGTATGATCCATTAAATATTTAACCGTTAAACAATTCGATCTTTGCATGTTTTCAAAAAACGGAAGAGATTGATTGTGTCAATGAAGGAAGAAGAAGGAAATTCAAATGAAGGGAATTTTCTTTTTGAAAACTTTAATTACTTAAGCTGTACAACCGTATTTATAGTTAATTTTATTTGTTTAAATAGTAATCTATAGTAAGATAGAATGGTGCTGAATATTAGAAATAACTTGAAGTGGTATCTTGTCATAAATTTAAAATAAGATATTGAAAGGAATCTATGTAATAATTGGCTAATGAAGCTAGTGGTAAGCTGAAGATAATTGTCTACTAGATAGCAATTAGCAACAGAGTAATTAAAAGTTTTAATAATTGTGTAGTGAACACGAACACCCGTGGGGACAATCGAATGCACTTAACGCAAACTTACAGGACTGGTTAATAAAATCTAACAATCAAATAGTAAATACGTAATTTACAAAATGTCCATCAACTGCCTCATGATGACTCAGACTTAATTGTTCTTGCATTTTCATACAAATTGCATTATGTTTCCACTCTTTACTGTTCGATCATCTTGTCTCTCTGCTGCCAGACATTCTGTTCCTGACCAACATCATATACTACTTATGTCGATATAAGTAGCACACACCACAGTTGCTAATTAATAGTTGTAAAAATAATTGGAAGGGATTAGAAATAATAAAATGAAAAACAATAGATTATGGAAGATAGAAAGGGTTGTTAAGACCATGGAAGAATGAGGGACTGAAAATGTTGCTTTTGTGATCAAAGGTCAGGTTTAAGCTAGTGTATAGCAATAGCCTCTGCTTTACACAAGTTTTTCATTTTCATTTCTATTGAACCAAATCTTCCGACGATATGTATGGTTTGAACGAGGCTTCTGGTGAAGCAGAGTGAAGAGGATTGACTGGACACCCCATGATTAAACTTTGATTGACTTTTGTGGTCTTTTGCAAAGCCAGATGGGGTATTGTTCAGAGTGCATTTCTAAACAGCTCGCTTTATACGACTAATATAACCTACTCCACATGAGCAAGTAAACCGTTGGCTTATAGCTATTTATTAACTTTACATATTTCTGAAGTTATTTGTTGCTGTTTTGTGGTACTTCATATATGATATTTGTTTTTCGTATATTGTTCAAAACATTGATTTATTCTGAAATTTTTGAAGTTTAAATCTATAACGTCATCCCGAATTTTTTCTTATAAACGATGGGTTCTAAAACTTAAGGACCAAATGTTCACACACTAATAATGTCATGTATAAAGCAAATGTTCTCAACTTTCTAATTAAATATTTCAATAAGATTAACTCTGAAAAAATAGTAATAAGTAGAAAAGACCATTTTACCTGTGCAGTCAGCTCTAGCTTGTGTATTAATGTATATTTAAATCATTCGAAATGATTCATTTTGCAACCAATTCTAGACTGATAGCATATACCTTACTCATGCAGAGTGAAATTGAATATGACCTATTCATTAAATAATAATTTAGTGATTTAAATACAACCTACGCTTTACTGAACTTCGATTCAGATGCTGAAAGATAAAATAGTCTTATGAAGATTATTTCTGATTGTTGGTTGATGGATTGATCTCAATCAAAATCAACCAAAAAAAATCAATAGACTCACTAATCAATTCATTCGATTATTAATTAAATAATTGACCGTAATTGTAAAGGTTAAAAATTAAAAATCAGATTTTCATCATATCAATGTTCATTACGTGACATTATTATTGGTAAACTGAAAATAATTATACAACATTCTTTAGATCATTCATATTTCACCTGATCTAATTTGAGTCTTTTAAAAAGAAGAAACAATCGGATTGGTTGAAGATAGACATTAACATCATTGGATGCCGGCTCAGTGGTCTAGAGGTGAAGCGATCGCGCGTAAGAACCCGATAGGTCCCGGGTATGAACCCCATTGGACGTGGTCTTCGGTGTGCATTGCCGAGGAGTCCTATACTAGGACGAAACAGCCATCTAGTGCTTTCAGGTTTCCCATGGTGGTCTAGCTTTAACTGACTTATGGATTCAACTATCAAACTACTAAAATTTTCACAAAACCATCTTTTGATAATTTGTTATCCATTTGTTACTTGCATCAGTAAATTGTCTTCTAATTTATTTTTAATTTAATAAATGTCAAAAAAGAATCTTATTGCTCTTAAACTAATAGACAATTATTATGAGGAAGTGACGACATTGAAAAATATATTCAAAGTTTTTGTTCTTTTCTGTGTATTAATGTGCATGTGTATGCATTCATGGATTGATGTGTATACATGGACGGATATGCTAATATATATATATACGATTACATATATTCAAATACCTATATACTAATATATAGATGTTGAATGTATCCATATCTTGTTTGACATTATCATCATCTTAATTAAATATATTTATTTAAGTATATATTTTGTAATTAGAGCATTGCATGACAATGTTAGGTTGTGCTTTCATTTTGCTATACTTTTGTTTTATGATGGTAAATTCATTTTAATCGATAATATTAGTTGTACTTGTTTAACAATAGTGAATGAATTAAAGCGATATTATTAATATCAGTTCAATGTAATGCAAGTGTATCAATATATATACACATCAGTAATTACTTGATATTTCTTTCACCTTTATAAATATTTAGTAATTAAACTAAACAGAAATACTAAAACATTGATTTTAATTGAAGAATCATTTAATTTCAAGAAACACTAAATTGTTATGAGATGGTGGAGAAGATTTGTAGCTCAGGTGGATGATTTTGGTAGAGTTTTGTTCTCTGAACCATCCAGCTCAGAGAACAAAACTCCACCAAAAACCAAATCGTTATTTCATCTCAATTTAAGGTTATTTACCTGTCACCATAGACAACATTCCTAAGGATCGAATTCGAAACATGAATTTAAGTTCATTTCTATATTAAAAGTTAGATATTGAATTTATTAATAAAACTAATATCAAGTATTTTATTGACAGATAATTTATTTTATAACCTGACATCAATTAGTTACGTAATCTATTTCATTATTATCATTTACTCACAAATTACATTGATTATTTTGATATTTTTCATAGATGTATATAAACTTAACTGTATATTAATGTTGAATTAGGATCCAATTATGATATCCTATTTGTTACCGGGTAGATAAATATCATTATAACTATTCCGTTCGTTTAAATTTCTTATATCTTTGTAGTACATAGTAAAAATAATCATAATGATTACCATGATATTCTTTAAATTATTTTACTATTTTATTTCAATTATATTCAAATTTAATTTTCTATGATTATCTTTATAATCCCATGAGTATATATAATTACAAAAAAATATTCTAATAAACTAGTCAAAGAAAAAAAAAAGAAAATTACTGGAACAAGACTTCTTCATATTGTATCTCATTTCTCTTGTATCATTGACTTTACTTTTTTTTCTGACAAAGAAATATTTACTTGCTTATTGTATAATTTGATATCAATACATGAATGTGTAGTTATCATGTTTCACGTGTGTAAATATGGATACAATATGAGTATTGGATTATCGAATAGATTATTGTTAATCAGTCAATCTCTAATATATATATATATATATATATATATACAAGCGATTGGGTGTGTGTATTACCTGAGAATGAAACTAGTTTTGGTCTAAATTCAACTTTTTTAGTTTGTGTGTTTTTTCGAAACTTCAGTGCTCAATAAAATTGACGAGGTATTCATAAAATTTCTACCCGTGTTCATATTTATTTTTGTTACAAACAGCAACATACAGTATTTTCATTGGACTTACTCCCTGTTTGACTGCACATATATATATATATATATATATATATATATATATATATATATATATATATATATATATATATATATATATATATATATATATATGAAGGTATCTTCACGTTGTATTCCTATAGTTACTCAGATATGACTAGTTTATCTGAACATAATGCCAAATTTTGTGGATAAAAATTTCCTACTCCAAGCATACATGTATACTGTATGTATATATTTATGTGTAATATGATGTGTATGTTTGTCTGCATACATAGTAAATTTAAAAATAACAGACAGACATGTTTGTATGCATTTATTGATCTAAAAGATTCCTACTCACCCACTTACTCAGTTTATCCAGCTCTACCCTTCAACTAGATTGGCTGTCAACCCTACTACAAAATAAATCGATTAATTATAGTCTCAGTGAATGCCCACTAAAAGTTACTACTACCACCACTATGATTATTACTTCTATTGCATCAAATATTAGGAATTATTATTACAATCATTTTATTTAATGTTACCGGAAGAGCAGTAAAACAACAACATGGAAAAATAAACATGGATCAATTTACTTACACGTGTATTACCTGTCTATGAATGACAGAGTATTTTATAAACCAGTAAACGACAGCTGTAACAGTTAACATAAGCGAAATCCTAAATCTTCTTATCTATATATTGAATTTTCATTTATGATCAATGTAATTATATTTCCAATTCAATCTAATTATAATAAGCAAAAACTTCATTCATGCATGGAATTAATATATTAATATCTTAATCATTTTATTCTAATTATTTCGAAAAAGAGAAAAGCACTATACAATCCAAAATCAAACTTATGTCCTGTGGATCCTTCTAAAAAAAGAGAAAAAAAGACCATTACTACTTTTGTCAAATAGAGAAAGATCATATTTTCAAAAAACAGAAAGAAAGAAAAAAAAAGGAAAAAAAAACATGATTTGAATGTCTTATAACTTATCAATAACCATGACAACAAATCATATAAGTAATCAAAGTGAAGAATAAAAATATTTTTTTTACAAAAAAATTCTTTTTAAGATCAACTGAAATTTAATGGCTAAATGTTTGTCAATTTTCTACAAAATAACCTTTCGTTGTGATGATAATAATAAGAATAAAAATAATCATAAATGGATTAGACATGAAAAAAGAACAATAAACTTATTCATAAACAAGAAAGACATCATTTACTTAATAGAATGTTTAAGTTGGTATTTATTCAGTGTTATTATTTATCTCAGTGGTCTGTATCTATCTCCATCTATTCATTTTATTGTGATTATTATTTTAATTGTTCTTATTGTTATCAATATTTTATTGATTATTTTCAAATAGAAATTGTTCAGAATTTAAAATTAAATATAAACATATTTTACTATCAAATCAATAATTACTACAATCATAATTCATTCATAATTGAATCTATAAAACAACAATTGCAAAGTATTTTTAATCAATCAAAGAATTATTGGAAGTTTAAAAATTGTACGTACAAATTTCTTAAATTATTGAATATTGGAAATAGAAATATCAATATAATCGATCAATTATCATTGAATAACAATCTTCATAACATTGTTAAATATAGTAATATTTTCTTGATAGATCAAATAATACAATATAATACAAGTAAGTTTATTATATATAATCAGCTCCATTTGGAGCATCAGATGGCTGAAGAATCTGTAGACAGTGGAATTTCAAGCGAACTATACACTATAAAATCTGATCAAACCTCTTGTAACTTAAATATTGAGTTACAACAATTAGAGGAGAATAAAAATATTCACAATTTAGCATTAGTTCAATCAGTGGACGATTTTATTCATAATCCTTATCATAATCAATTCTATATAGAATGTACCAAAACAAACAGTCATGTAGGATTATTTCAAAATGCACTTTATAAAAATTCAAACTTAGATTATGATCGTTTCTTACATTCTGTTGATCAAAATTATACAATTAATAATCCTAAATTAAATAAAAAGCAAATATTAAGTAAATTAAAAAAAATCAATACTAGTTCATTTGATTCTGCCTTTGAAACAAGCTCTGAATCGACATTATCACTTGTATCAAATTTATCTGGATCTTATCAAAAATTAAATTGTTCAATAAAACCTAAATATTCTTCAAATTTCAATAATTTTAATAACTTCATTGGACAAGTGAATAAAAATATGACAGAAGATCCTAATAAATCAATTATTCAAGATTTTTATACATGTGATAAACAAACAAATAGATATAATATGAATGAAGGTAAAACTTTAAATCCTCGTGTACATTTTGTCCCAGAAGAAGGAGTAAATACATCTAATTTACCTGGACCAAGTCGACCAACTTCAGATTATACTTTAGATTCAACAGGGAATATAAGTGATCAAAACAAAATGTTATCTCATTTACTTTCATCACGTGATTATGTGTATATGCCAACTAATCGTATTGCAACAAGTGGTACATGTAACATTCGTGGTGGACAAGTTTTATCTAACTGGCAACGTCAACAACAACCGAATCGGCAACAAGCTCACCTTTATGATGCACATCCTGAAAGTTTGATTCATAATTTAAATCAATTGACTGACAACAGAAGTAGAAATACACCTTATTTTCTACAACAACAACAGCAACAACAACAAACAAGTCAAAATCGCATTCAGGGTGACCAAATATACGATCCTGGAAAGATATCAAATCAATCACAGCAAACACGACTTCAAAACCAACCAAATCAACAGCAAGCAAATTATCAACAGTTAATTTCAGCATTATTAGCCGCTGCTTCTGCTAGTAAATCTCGACTAGAGTCGCAGTCATCACAAACTTCTAATCTTTCACCCATGGGTATAGATACAGTACTAAACCAACAGAAATTTAACACATCTAATCGTTGGTCTGATTCTGAACTAGCAATTAATAATGCTAAAGACATACAATATCAAGTTCAAACGCAACAGATTAGACAACAACAGCAACAACAAGCAACGGCAGCTGCGGCAGCAGCAGCAGCAGCGGCTGCCGCGATGGCTGCACTGCAATGTTCTGCTAAATCTTCAGCTAATATTCCATTAAACATGCAAAGACAAGTTCCTTTTCTGTTTGGGAGTGGTAGCAGTAGTAATACGATTCAAAGAAATCCAGCACAATTACGTTCATCTTATTCATCAGGAGATGAATCATCAACAATGCGAATTATGAATCCAGCATCATTAGTCACACCAATGCAAACATTACGCAGATTTTGTACCCCTGATATGAATATAAATGAATCAAATCTATCTCAGACTTTATTATTACCTCAACAACCGTTGAGTACAATGTCTGAAAGTGTCCCACTTTCTGAACAAAACAATAAATTACAACGAGCAACTCAACAGTTGATCACACAATTAAATAAATTTCAAGATTTATCTGTTTCTGGAGATGATTATGCAAATTATCAATGTTTAGAATCTTTATTAGGACAAGCTTCTAGGCAGCCACTAGCACCAGCTCCTTCAGTTCAAATGGAAAATGTTCTTTGTACAGGTAGTTAAGTTGGGTTTTTTTTTATGTTTGAAATTCAACAAAGGTTCATTTTATATTTTATCTTTAACAAAAGCATGTTACATTAATTTGATTCGGAATTTGTATGGAGCAACCAACGCGTTCTTCTGTGTGGTCAAAAAGTACGGATGTACCCGTTGTCAATACTTCTCTGCTTGATATTAGTTAGTTACGGAAATTACCTCTTAAGCACTCGGTATACCATGGCTTTTATAGAATAATTCTCATTTTAAAAGAGACTTACTATGAAGAATAGAATTATTTAGGAAATGTAGATAATAATTAAGAGTCTTTCATGGTCATGCTAGATAGTATCATTAATATAACCTTCAAATAAAGGTTAACCATCAAAATTTCTCTACAAATTACTGACAGCCTGTATTGTAAATATTAAGTCTGAATGGTTTTGTTCCTTTCGTTAGCATAGAAATGACTGAAGTGACTTTTTAACTCAACCCCAAAGCCTATTCTGAACGCTTTCAATACTCTAGTTTTGTTTGCTGGTATAGAGGAATAATCCGTTTACTGTATGTCATATTTGATCTCGACCTTGTTGCCAATTTTACATCAGGTTTCAGATCAACTCCTACTAATGATGTCAAGAAAGTCCACACTAATCGCCATCGTGAGCTGAATATCTTCTCTACCATCTGGAAATCAGTTATTTTGCTTTGATCCCTTACTTTCTGTTATTTCCTTCAAAACAGGGATAAATAACGTCTGTTGACATTTGAGTTCACCGTATACGTTCTTGTGAAACATTTTCAAAAGGTCATTGTAATTCTTAAAAATCGGATTGATAAAGCAAATTTGGAAATATTGACGTATTATAAATCAGACGAGTACTTTGGAGTCAGTAGTTTATTATTTCACCTTTTTATTCATTCGTTTACACAAACCGGTTACAGGGTAGTTGCTGGTGTCTTTTTGTTCAGTATTTAGTTCTGACTAAATTCTAGCAACTGATTTACAATTTTACTATTAACTAGGTTAAACAACAAGACATCGAATCATATTGCTCGAAGTGTTTCAGTACTCTCAATATTCTAGAAAACTTGAATGATGTTTCTCAGAACGTTGGAAAATATTGGTTTAAGGTTTCCTGTCCACTAGTCAAAAAATATAAAATTACCAATTCATGTAAATTCATAGACAATACAAAGGCAGCTACTGATACTGCTATTTATCTTGTTTAAACCAATAATTACCCTGTGTATAAAAAAAACTAGATTTTAATATGATGCATTTAAGCCTACATTATTACTCTTTTTATTTCAATATGTTTTAAGGTAGGCTTAAGGGTGGTAGCTCAACACTACCATTTTGCTTAAAAACAAGCCACAGAATGTTCGTGTTACGGATCCCCGAAGAGTTATCACATTTTAAAAACTACATAGTATAATTTTATTGTAATTGGCTCAGTAGTCAGATTATTTCCATTTTAAACTGAGTTGGACGGTTGTTAGTAGTGAAATACATGAAACGCGTTTCTTCCTATTTGGGACTTATATGATGGATTTGCCTGTACCTCAGTGTTAGTGTTTACATAGGAACTCGTTAAGTCACAGTGCATAAAATCAACGGTAGATTCAAACAAACAAAACAAATTAGTTAAAATACACACCGTACCACAGGCGATTGACTAACTGAACTCTGAAGGTAAATGAATAATTCATTGTGCATTTGAAGTGATGAGTACTGGGTCCGAGTCCAGGTGTGAGCATCAACACATACAGGCACGCCCAGCTGAAGGGTCCCAAATGCGGTGAAATACGTATCGTGAATTTTTCTGCTAGCCATCGTCCTACTTTGTTAGCAGGAGTATGTGCGTGTGGTCATTTTGGTGGTGAGCTATTAGAAGTAGCCGAAAGTTTTGTGTCTGGATAGCTGTGTGAATGGTAGTGACAGTGTGGGTGATGCAACGAAATGGCCTACATATTTGGTTGTGACAAAATATCAAACCGAAATAGGCTTAAAGCTACCTAACGACTCAGCGAAACTTCGGGTCTCCGTGTTGGGGATAATAAAAAACTCTTTTTGTTCAATTATCGTTGTTGCAGAAGGATTGATGATATCTGGTAGCAACACTGTGTTAGTAATGCGGACATTCAGAAGTGTTCGGGCACTGTAATAATAATCTGACCGGTGTCATCATCTTAAAACACCAGCCTCGGTGGCTTGGATAAGCTCTAGGAATGTTATCCTAGCGACTTTTATGTGGTGCTTTAACTGCTGACTCTTGAACTGGTTGGAAAGGCGAAAAGATGGTCAGTTTGTGACAAGATGTCGGAGTATGAAAGAAAACTGTACTGGACTAGGATCTGTTGCTCCTTCATGACTCCTTGATTGAATTCTGAAAAACAGTAAAAATTAGTGGCGTGAAACGCTACCACACGTAACCCTTCAGAACGTGATAAAAACTTTAACTGAGATATTTCTTCCTGGTTGTATTAGTTCGTAAGAACCTGCTCTCCTACCATTAACTACGATTTTTCATTCACCATTCGATTATTATAATTGCCCATTCAAGCTATTTACTCCGGCAATTATTATTACAACTATTGGAAAAATACAAATAAATAGTGACAATAATAACTATAAGTTGTAGCTTAAACTAGGCCTGTTAGAACTTGGCTAATTTTATCATGTCTTTGACATCATTATATAAACATATGCAAACATAATGTATTTTTTGTAATGGAGAAAGTACGAAGTTGATTTTATGCTAAATGTTTTGTAGTGTATTGTGGTTTGTGAAGATTGTTTAATTTTCATAATGAGATAATGAACTGATTTTAATTAAACAACCAATGAAAACTAGGGAGCACTGAAAATCTGTTTTGTTCTAATATGAGACTTTTCACCAGTTCGCATTCACGACCCTCTAGAAGACTGGACACAGGTCTACAGTCTCACGTACAAACACTTAATCTATATACTATTGAATATGCCAACCAATGATTTGACTTTCAATTCTATGAGAAATGTTTTCGTCTGAAAAAAACGTGATGTAAAGTGTTAATTGATTTTTATTTCTTCTCTAAAGTAATAAAGCAATTATTGTGTCCTTATTTGTTTTTTTCCTGGAAATAAATGTAGTTTACGTTGTTTCAATAATCAGATCACATGAGGACACGATGAATAATGTTTTTGAATAAACAATTTTTACTTTTGTAAGCAAAGATGGATAGTGGCTAGCAGTGGAATCCAGGACGCGCGTTTCGTCCTGTTTGGGACTCGTCAGCTGGATGTACCTGCATCTCAGAGTTGATGTTCACTCTGGGACTCGAACTCAGTACCGTCCGCTTCAAACGCCATCGCGTTATCCACTTAGCTACTGAGTCCTGATAGCCACTTGCTTGTGCAATGGGTTGAAGTTGAATTCACTTGATATTGTTTTATTTGAATCTTCCCATTGATGTTTTTGGACTGAAATTGATCAGTCTCTTATTGCACAAGCAAGTGGCTATCAGGACTCAGTAGCTAAGTGGATAACGCGATGGCGTTTGAAGCGGACGGTACTGAGTTCGAGTCCCAGAGTGAACATCAACTCTGAGATGCAGGTACATCCAGCTGACGAGTCCCAAACAGGACGAAACGCGCGTCCTGGATTCCACTGCTAGCCACTATCCATCTTTGCTTACAATGCTTGTAAATTAAGGCAATATCGAGGCATACGCACAGTATGCACATATGCCAATAAGAGACTGATCAATTTCAGTCCAAAAACATCAATGGGAAGATTCAAATAAAACAATATCAAGTGAATTTTTACTTTTATTTAAAAAAATTAGTTTGAAGCATATACAACTGTGAAATTAATGATCATAGAAAATATACATTATACAATGAATTAAACGGTTCTGTTGTAAAAAAGAAAGATTTTTCACAGATTGAAATCATGAGTCAATTGAAGCTAGACCACCATGGAAAACCTGGAAGCACTGGATGGCCATTTCGTCCTAGTATGGGACTGCTCAGCAGTGCGCACCCACGATCCCGTACCCCGTGAGATTCGAACCCAGGGACTATCAGTCTCGCGCCAGGCGTTTAAACAACTAGACCACTGACCCGGCATCCAATGGCGTTAATGCCTAACTTCAACCAATCCACGAAGTTGCACCACTGTATACCATTGTCTTCAGTGAGCTCATATCTCACAACAGACCTGGTTGAACTCCACTGGTAATGGCTTCTCACTAGAACTCTAGGAGTCTCTTGAAGTCAGTCACTAGTGAGCAAATGATTATTATCAGAAGGGGTTTGTGGAGATTTTAGAAATGTCACATTGAAATCATGAGTCAATTAAAGCTAGACCACCATGGAAAACCTGGAAGCACTGGATGGCCGTTTCGTCCTAGTATGGGACTCCTCAGCATTTTCATTTGTGTTTTTTATACAAATGTCTCATTTATTTATTTGTATAAGTATGATAATGTTTTATATTACTCATAACGATTATGAATAAAATACAAAGAATTAACGATAATTACAAATCATGAGTCAATTGAAGCTAGACCACCATGGAAAACCTGGAAGCACTGGTCTAGCTTCAATTAACTCATGATCTCAACCGTTGAGATTACTACAATCTCCACAGAACCCCTTCTGATGCTAATTAAAAATTAGTTAAATGTTGCATTATGTCTATAGATTAAATTCTACCAATCAATTTGCAAGAGTTTTACCTACTACATTCAAATAATTATAATCTAAAACATATGACTTCAAGTTATTTAGACTAGTGGTTATAGTACAACTTAATCTATAGAATTTTATTTTTCCTAAGAACTAGATATTCATGACATTGGTCACTACCCAGTAATCAATTAATATAGAATGTCATATAATTCCATATAAATTGAACTTTGTATGTATGAAATAGAGTTAACGCACAACAATTTGATGTTTAAATGTGTTTTGACATATCTACATCAAAAGAATCTCTATTATTCAATATATGATTCAACCGTGAATAAACT